ACTTTCTTTCAAGTTTACTGAAAATTGCCTTCGTGGACAATAAGAAACGCCTAAACTAACGGTTCTATTTTTATGAATAGCACCAATAAAATAACGCAGATAAATTTCGTTTCAATACCATTTCCGCTAATCTAGAATAACGAAGAATTTCTTTAAAAAAACCGCCATCGTGCTTCGTAGAGCGATCCTATTTTATAGCTTTAATGTATAAAACGATCAAAAAGTCACAACAATCTACGTGAAATCAATTTCTCGTCAAGAAGCGATAAAAAAGAAAAAAACGCACGCCGAACCAAATTACTAACAGAATTCGTGAAGAGTTTTTTTGAAGAATAATGACTTTACGATCTCTTTGCTTCAGTTTAACTCGGTTCTTCAGCTATTTCCTAGTCACTTTTGTCAGTGGCGTATCTGCCTGATTCCGGCAAACAATAATACCTTCAAAGATTCATTAAAAACCAGTCGGGAAAATCAACGGTAACACAAATAATTTATTAAAATGTTCTACTTTTGCTTATATGTGCGGGTAATTAATTGTGGATGCCAAATTTGTACTTCGGAAAACTTGAAGAAATGCGACTGCATTAAATTAATCAATAAATTAACATCAATTCAAAGATTCATAATTCCAAATTCATGAATGAACAAATATATCGTACCGATAATTTAATAATTAAAAAAATATATAATACAGCAAATCCAAATAATACGAACGGCTAACGATTGTGAGTGTTAACGAAATCTTTAAGGACGGCAGACGGGATATCAACTTTTTTATTACTTTCACTCGCTTCCCTCTATAATACAGGGAATATCATTCATGCTTCAGTTATTAAGTTCACATTTAATATGATGCATTTTAGCACTCAGTTTTTTCTTGCTTAGTAATAATTTCTCTTTTCTTTTAAATTTAAATATTTATTTTGAAGTTGAAATGACAGCAATTGTTGCTCAAAATGCTATGTACTATAATTATTTAAATTACAACGAAAAAATTAACAGCGCAATATACAAAGTTGTGACAATGTCTAGACGAATTTTTTAAACTAATTGACGATCAACCCTAAAAATTTAACAGCAGAAAATTTGCGGATGGAATCATTACCGTATTTCTAAACACATTTTGTTAATCATGACGAAACAGTCGCTTCCTCTAGGAACAATAAGACTATGTCAACACTAAGTATCGTTTTCGGAAAACCTGCCACCATGCTATGTCTGATACGCTAGTCAAGAAACTAGTTTCTCGATTTCACACATGCCCACTTAATCTAAATAAGTAGATAAATAATTTTCCTCGGAAATTATTCAAATTTTATTCACAAGCTAAAAGGAAGTAGTTAAATCCTACTGCCTATCGTTGTATCGTTTCTATCGAGCCATCGCAGAAAAGATCATATCTTTAGCTGGGACAACCTAATAAATCAGTATAGAGGGATACATAAATAGTTGTGAATTTACATGGAAGATGTTGCTAGAAAGTTCAGGATTGTGCATCGAAATTAGTTCTGTCCGATTTTGCAAAGTCGCCAGGAATAAGGAGAAGTGAAACATGTCCTAAAGTGGCAAAATTAGGAAAAAATTAACATGAGAAAAGTTAAAGAAAAATTTAGGCCTGGGTAACACTATGTAGAGTTGCGCTATTGAGTTGTTGCCGCTCTCTGAGTTATAATTCATCGGTTAATGAGTTATAATTCATTTATTAAAACTTGACGAGACCCGAGACTGGAATTTTCACAACTTAAAAAAAAAGTCATCAACATTTTTTCTAAGTAACATTTAACTACTTTGTTTAAACAACTAAAAAAAGTCATGTAGATTTTCCCTGCAACAGAACAAAAGAAAGTCGACGAGTTTTCTTGTAAAATCGAAATCTTCATTTTTTTACAAAAAAGATTCAGTTTGCCAATATTTTACAGTAAAACGTTAGGAAACACACGGTTTTTCTGTTTAGAGACAGTGTTGTTTAGAAATATTGACCTAAAATTGAAGAAACTCCAGTTTCCAAGAGTTTCCCAAATAAATGATTATAAACTTTCGTGTTTTCAGTTCGGTGAAATATTTTTGGAAAAACACCCAAAAATAATTATTACGGTTTTGTCCATAACTTCCGTAAACCGTAACCGTAAATCGAGCTTTCTAAAAAATTTTTGCAAAGCGGTTGAGTAGACGAGTGTTGACAGCCAATAAAATGTATCTTGTAATTTTTCACAGAAAATATCTAAAAATTGTCAGCATTTTAAGCAAAACTAACAAATAATGCGCTTTTTGCGTACAAAGAATTGCTTAATAGAAACTTTCTTAAAACTGGAATGACCTGAAAATTTAAAGGAGCTTTAAAATTCTTCAGAGCGATGAGGGCGGTGAATTTCTCAAATATTTTTTTGTAAACTTTTGCTATGGTCGTTTTTTCAAGATAATGCTAATTACTTTCGGTAAAAAACGGAATTAAATTATTTGCTTTTTGTGCCAAATTCGAAGCTGATATGGGTTTTCTAAAGTTCCCTGCAAACCGATGATCGAGGCGAATTTTGTAATTTTTGGCTGAAAAGACGGGAATCATCAGAAAATAAGCCTTTTTTGCGTTTTCGATTAAAAACCTTCAGTTGTGTCATTGGTTTTGGAGAAAACATTAATGATTTTCGGGGAAAATCGGGGAGAATGTCGTTTTGTTTTTGCCCCAAATTCGACACTGAAGAAAGTTTTATAACATTTTTACAATGCTATACATTTTTTTCGTAATTTTTCGCGTAACAGTCTTCCAGATCGTCAGTATTTTTAAGTGAATTTCTACAAAATAGGTCGTTTTTAAGTAGGAAATAAAGCAAAAAAAGTTCAGTCAAAACTAAAAAACCACATTTTTTTACAAATTCTACAGTTTTCAGAGCACTGGAGGTGACTAGATTTCCAAATAATCTGTTATAAACTTTTGTTCGTTTATCGATAGAAAATTGTATAATTTTTGTTCCAAACTCGAAGCTGGAAAGGGATTTCAAAACTTTTTACAAAGCGACGATTTTTCGCGGAAAATACCTTTAGATTGTCAGCATTTTTAAGTGAAACTAGAAAATTGAGCATTTAGAAGAAAAAGTAAATTTCCAAAACTGAAAAATTCTAAATGGCCTTTAAAATAAATCTAAAACAAGTAAAAAAAGTCGTCAACATTTTCCCAGCAGCGGAACTGAGCGCCAACTAAAAATTCACTGAGTTACCCAGGCCCAGAAAAATTGTTAATCAATGCAATACTCATTGAATGTCGGTGTTCCAATTGAAGACAAACAAATTCAAAGTATACAAGAGCAAATTAGATTTAATGTCAAGAACTTTAATGTGAAGATCTAGAATATAATTTTTTATTTTCAATGCAATCAAGAATTCAGTTTGATTTTATGAGAATCAGACACTCCAAATACAGATTAATAAGAAACTTTATTTTCAGCGCATATTCAATACAAAAGTTCCCGAGTGCAATGAAAGATAATATGATGTGATAACTGAACAAATGTTTTGAGTATATCCTGTGATTTGTTCAGGTAAAACTGCTGTATGTCTTTTGAGGCTTAAAAACCTCTTTAAATTCGACACAATTAGCAATCTAACACTCACTGTAAATTTTGATAGTATGGTAAATATTTATAGTATGGAAGGAAAAGTCGAAGTTCCTTTGAGACTGAAAGTTTAGATTTTTTACTGCGGCTTCATTAGAATAAATTTAGCAGCCATCAATTAGGTTGCTCGCCTACCAGATTTGACCTCACTGGGCTTGTCCTAGAGGAAAACATACATTTTCGATGCCGCAACATTTAAATGACTTAAACATTAAAAATCTATTAAACTAAGTAGGTACACTGCCTAGGTTTCATGTACCAGCAAAAAAAAATGGGAAAGTGATCGAAAAAAAGACAGTTCGAATATATGCAAATACATACATGCCTTGTAAATTACTTTAAAGATTCAAGTAAATTTGAAAAATGCTGTGCACAAAAGTTTTTCGAATTTTTTAGAGGTATCACATTAAATTATCGACAATATTTACTGATTTTATTCGTAAACACTTTAACGAAAACTACAAAGTCTCGAACTATTGCTTGCTAAATCTGACATTATCTTTATATTAATTAATTTTGCTCTAACTCTTGCATTGATTTGGGATAGATTTTAAAAAGACTTTTAAATAAATAGATTATAAAAAGAGTTTCTCAATAGACAAAACAGCAAAGCACAAAAATTTGCTTGAAAAGTAACACGTTTCAAAAATCCGTCCATAAAAGAAACAATATATTTTATTCAGATATTTCAGTTAAGATGAGTTTTTAACTTGTCGCACTTATTTGTTATACTAAAAATACCAACTACGTCATTCAATTATAACTATAAACAAAGCAACTGTAATCTGTTATTTAAAATGTTTTATAATATGTTATATTTCACAAGTTATCGACACCCTTTTTCGCTTAAGTTTTATAGATCTTTAGTAGGCATTTTACATCTTATGATGGGCTTAACTTTACTTTGCACGGGTTTGAAAATTTGGCTTTTGCAGATCCACAACGCCTTACAATCAAATTATATGTTTTATATACTTGATAACTGTTTAAATACGTTCAATAAAAAAACTTGTTATTTTAGTGATTACTCCAACTACATTATCGTTAATACCGATTAGAATTAAAGAAATCGATTGTAATTAGTAGTGACTTACGACATAAAATTATTTTAAATACCGGAATAAAAATAAAGAAAAGTTAAAAGAAAGACTACACGTTAGATTCAATAAAGCTTCTGAAAAGATTTTTAATGTTAAAAATTATTGTTTTTAATTAGCGTCTAGGTACTTTAAAATTTGCATGGAATTTGTTCAGACGCATTCTTTTCACTCATATCCTATTTTATATACCTCTTTGTTTTTTTTTCAACATTGTTGGATCGTTTGATAAATTTGCAGTTGCATTCACATCACATTGTTAGCTCAATTTGTTCAAACGTTTTTAATTTTTTAGTCAAATGCAGTTAATTAACAGACATAGACAACATCCAACTATCTACCGAAACTCAAGCTGCATTTAAATCAGCTGAAACAAATACCAAACGAGAATATGAACTCTGAATTAAAAGTCAAAAGGCCATGCCAACTTAAGTCAGTTGTCCATCATTGTTACAACATCGCAAGAAGAGCTTCAAGGAAGACAGATAGAAGAATCGTGCTCGAGATCTAATCTACCTAGATCGGAAGAAGTCAGCTGGTCAGTTTGAAGTGATCTTGTGAAAATAGTTTAATAAAAAATACTTATAATAATTGTGTGTATTAGTTGTTCCTTTATTATTATTAACAGTTGAAGTGGAACAAGCTTTTCTTGTATATTTCAAAGGCCCGTTTTAAAAAAAAACCATATAATTTTGGTAAGACACTATACAAAAAATAAAATTAAGTAACACTTGACGCCATATAAGTTGTTACTTAATTGTATATGTGTAGGAGTGTTGTAAGGCCGACGTTTTGCGTTTTAAATAATTCGATATCAGCAATTTTCGTATGCTTTGATAAATAACAAATGTAATTGGAAACAATATCTCAAATAACCCAACTTTAGTTTGGTTGCACTTAACAAACAAGTTAAATAGACAATTTTCATTACTTTTATTTTAATCATGTCTGTAAATAATGTTTTGTTTGTCTTTCCTCTTCATGATGTGTTACAGCGTTAACACCCCTACGACCATCCGGCTTAAATTTCTTATGCAGTGCAAATGGTGGCCATTTCACATAAGCATGTAACATCTGCCATTTGTGCAAACAAATGTTCAAATGAAACAAAATAAAAAATAATTTACAGTGAACAGGAATGGTACTCGGGGCAGCCTCTTTTCACCAATCGACAACTCGCGCATTTCCCCAAAGCCTTTATATAATAAATATACATAGGTATATTTACAACGGCTAAAGGTGAACGTTCTGGGCTAGAGCAGAAAGCGATTTTACCTTTGGTACGATGGAACCTAATAAATTATTTATAGCTGATGAACCATGCAGACTAGCGCATATCGGCGGTACTATTCTATTCGCTGATGCGGTACCGCAGGTACCACTGTTGGTTAGTTGGAGCGTTTTTGTTTTAGATGCATACCAGTCTATTCGAAACGGTATCGGGACCGAAAAATGTTGATCGGTTCTCTTCTTGCTTCTTTTTCATTCAAGTCATTGATTATAAACAGTGGAGCAAACATTCGACACAGCAATTTAGCATGGGGAGGTTATAATTATCAGAACTCAAACCTCTGAACTAATGTGGTGCTAATTGATTATTTTCATAGAAAAAATTCCTTGAAGCATATATTTTCTATAGATCAGCGACCTAAAGTAAAACCGAAAATAATGGTTATAACACACAACAGCTGAGATAGATTATAGCTTATTGATAATTTGGTTTAAAAAACACAGATTAAGTTAACTAATTAAAAAAATATCAGTTTCTTATAGACACGTTGATTAAACAGGAAAAGAAAGATTTGAGAAAAACGTTTGTTAAAAAACGAATTTATCAATCTTTTGTAAAATTAAATTTCATACTTAAAACATCAGTTTTTCACCATATTTGTAATATTTTCTAAAGATGCGATTAAAATACCCACAGTCGAAACACTTGATTTTGAACAGACAAAAAACATCAGAAGATGCTATAGAAAAATTTAAATAAAACCAGGTACTAAATATTTTAACGAAAAACAAGCATAATATTTTTACATACAAGTTGCTCATCAAAATAGACGGTTAAAATTTCAGCTAATTTTCGAACTGGATAAATTCTAATTGCTGAAAGCGATTTGAAGCGTTATGAATTGCAATTCTTTTTCGGCATGTGCATGTTTTTGCAAAAAATCATAATTTCTACAGGGTGGCAAATGAAACAATGCAAAATTGATGAAAGTTCCACATGCTCTCAATTGGACAAAACAACGTTTTTCTTTGTACCTCAACACCACAGGCACCTATCACAGATAAACTTTTTGCTCATCTCATGTGGGTGTGGTCTTAAAAAAGTCAACTTTTCGGTCTTGCAGTGATAATTTTTTTCTTGTCAACCGATTACTAAAATCTAACACTCATGTTAAAGCTGAAACATCGCGGTCGACTTGAGAAAAAAAATCAATATACTGGGTTGCATAAATGAACGCACGAAATATTTGAAAGTGACTTCACTTTAGTTAAAAATTATTTCAGGGCCACTTCGGCTGTGGGTCTTTTTTAAATAAAATTGTTGCACTTTATTGAGTTTTTGTCTTAAGTTGCCCATGAAGTTTAGCTTCAACATGAGCTTTAGACGGTTAGAATCGGTATAAAAGCAGAAAGTTATTGCTGCAAGACCAAAAAGTGATTTTGTAAAACTATTCTATCAATAGAAGATATGGCCAAAAAAGTAAAACGTGTGTTTTTTTTTAAGTGTTTTTTAAACTTTTGGTGTTGAGATCATAAAAACTTTATTCTGGTCCAACCAGAAGCATGTTGAACTCAAACTTTCTGATATTTTGCGTTTCTTTATTTACCACCCTGTAGAAAAATTATTTGTGGTGCTTAATTTTTGCTAAAAGATTGACGAACAAATAACAAATAGGGCTTCAAATAGAAACCAAATCGCGTGAAGCACTCAGAATTTATCCACTTCCTAAATAAAATGACATAAAGCAATAATTAGCAATAGAGCAACATTTATAGGTAAGAGCCTCTGACATCGGCCAATTGAATCGGTGCTAACAACAAAGAATTCTATGTAGATTAAAACCGTCCCACATATCAATTTAACAGAATAACGGCCAGTTGTTTGGACTAGATTTAAAATTAGATAAATCCAAGTCTCACCTTGCGTATAAAACCTTGCGTATTTTTACTGTTTCTAAGAATTAATTTTACAGTGTTTTACTATACTTGATTCTATAAGACCTAATATCTGATAGAGACAAGTTTGATATATATAAACAAAGCTCTCATTTATCTCTTGTCTGAATAAAGTTTTAACAGAGCGTATTATAAAAACATATTGTTTAAAAAATGAATTAAAAAATTCATGGCCACTTAATGAAGAAATTGAAAAAGTGGCAAGAAATGTTATATCTGAACTGATCCTGATTCGTTGCAAATATCATTAAATGCAATTTTAGCAGAAGACATTCGTGGATATTTAAATGTGCATTACAAAACTTGTTTCAAAATCGAAAATTGGAAATGATTTGTAATAAATCGATTGGAGTTTTACGMCTAGAAATTCTTCCAGTGMCCTTTAAGGCTATTTAACGATTTTCTAGAGAAAATRTTTCAGGCATTATCGAGAATCTGCTAARATTAAAGTTTGAATAGTCAGCATTTAACAGCGGGTATATTTMTTTTGTACCGAAATTAGCAAATACCGAAAACCCGGAAGGTTGATAAAAAGAACTTGTGCTATGCGTGGCTAAACAACACATAACAATAATCACTTGAGTCGCTTCTTATCAGATTAGATGTTGTGTCAATTATTTCCAGTAACTTTTAAACCGTGGCAAACAGTTTTTTGACGAACTTTAAGCGCATCGAAAGTGAATTTCGACAGCGCAACAGAGAAATTGTTGACTCAAAGACCGGAAGCAACAGAGCAAAGTTGCACACGGTTTAGCAAAAATTAATCAGCCAGGTAATGTATCTTGCTTAAAAAATTGAGAAATTGCGACACGCTGTGGATAGTTCTGCGAAGTTGGAGTATTTTGTTAAACATGGAACCATTTGCAAAATTTTCACCTTCAAACATTCGATCGTAGAAGCAAGCTTAAAACATTTGGAAATTTTAAAAGTTAACATAAATGTTTATAAACCCAGTTAGAGAAATGTTAATAATAAGAAATGTGTTAAAATAAAGCCATTTTATTGCGATTGCTGTTGTATTGTTTATGTATGAAGTACCAATAGTCCCTTATGAATAAAACGAGTCTAAGTTATTATAATTCTTCATTAGTATTACTTGTGCAAATAAAATTCCTTCAACTGACTTAATGAGAAAGGACAAAATAGAACCACTAAAGAACAAATGTTTACCAATTAAAATAATGTTTTGTTTCTATTTTGAGGCCTATATTTTAGTGACTGATTAAAACCACATTCGCAAGTAGGAAATCGGTTGAAAAGAAATATTATAAAGTTTATTTACATTAGAATACAATTGATCCGCAATCATAAACTATAGATATTCATATATCAAGGTAATTATTTTTCTATTTAATAGTCGCATGTGATTCGCTTCGAAGAAATTGGGTAGTAAGGAAGTAATGCGAAACTTCTTCCTATTGATAAAACAATAGGTATATGAAGTGATCGTGACCAGCTCTTAAAATAAAAATAGAATTGATGAATTGTACTCACAATCTTAAAAAATTTTCTACGAAAAATTATGAGATAAATTTCGAATTCTTCGTTGCTTTGTAAAAAGTTTTGATATCCCTTTCCCGCGTCGAATTTGGAACAAAAATCAAATAATTTTGTATCATAAAATGAACAGAATAAGCGAAATTTTATAACAGATTATTTGAAAATCTGATCACCTCCATTCTTCTGAAAACTGTAGAATTTGTTAAAAAATGTGGTTTTTTAGTTTTAACTGGTTTTTTTCTGCTTTACTTTCTACTCAAAAACGCACTATTTTGTAGAGTTTTACTTAAAACTACTGACGATTTGGAGGACTTTTACGCAAAAAATGACAAGATTAATTTATAGCTTCCTTAAGATTAATTAAAAATAAATTCCTACCGCTTTTTTTTTTCGAAAACCATCAATGTTTTCTCCAAAACCGATCACGAAACTGAAAGTTTTTAATCCACAAAGCAAAAAAACATTATCTTTTGATGATTTTCTGCTTTTTTGACAATAATGGGGTGTTTTCAGTCAAAAATTGGTTTTGCTAGAAAATTCGCCTCTTTCATCGATTTGCAAGGATCTTTCGAAGAATTTCAGATTCGAATTTTGCATAAAACCCAAATAATTTTACTTTTGTTTTTCACCGAAGGTTGTTAGGACTATCTTGAAAAAACGACCACAGAGGAAAATTTTACAAAAAAATATTGAGAAAATTCGTCGCCCCCATTGCTCTGAGGATTTCTAAAGTTCATTTAAATTTTGAAGTTATTCCAGTTTTAGCAAAGTTTCTATTAAGAAATTCTTTCTACGCAAAAATGGCATTATTTGTTAGTTTTACTTCAACTTCAGATTGACAATCTTCAGATATTTTCTGTGAAAAATTATAAGATAAATTTTAATGGAACACTCGCCTCCTTAAC